CAGTCGCAGTCGGTCTGGCGATAGACTTCCATGGACCGACTGTTCGGCATATGTCTCAATGACGTTTCAAAAGTGTTAGATTTAAGCCAAGCCAGCCAATGGCTGCCACGTTGCTTAGGCGGCGCGATCCAGGCCGGAACGCCCGCACGACCGACTGTGTGCCTGTTTTGCGTCGTGTGACATTAAACCATTTTTATGCTGTTTGACTGTGACGAAAGGTGACCGTCTGTTGTACGTATTATTTCGCCTGTTATTGCGGTTAGCGACAGCTAACGCTGTTCATGGGACAGTCGAACGTTCGTCAGATTACGTGACTCCTGATCCGGACGGCAGCACGGCCCAAAAATGAAAGTCACACGAATGAAATTAAACCTCATTTGCTTGGCAACACCTCATGACTGGTATTTGGTCGCGTCGCCACGGTGCGCGTCGATTTAGGCAAATGATCGCACCTGAGATTCAGCAGCGTCGAATGTTTTTACCTAGAAGCTGGTGCATCTGCAACAACTATATGAATGTTTATTTCACCTGAAGCACATTAATAACGTATTGTGTAACATCTTAAAGTCAAAACGTCATTTAAGACCATTGCTGGTATTACATTCTGTCTGGCAGTTACGGTAAACACGAACGTCTAAGATATACCAAGAAATGGTCGTTTGATGACGTCGTAGTCACATCGCTGTTTTGGCGAGGGCACTGTCGCAGTATCGTTCAGCCTACTCTGTGCACAGTCCATGACATCGTTCAATTGAACCCACATGTGTATATTTCTAACGGTGTTAAGTGCTTCGAGTGTGATGTTGTTCTCGCTAGAAGTTCAGTTACGTTCTTAAGGTGGTTGCTGCTGGCAGCCGGACCAAGCGAATTGCGCCGGGATGACGCTACGATGCAGTGGGCTGACGCAGTCATTGGACAAACTGTTCGGTCCATCGGGCTTCGTGGTATCTACCGAGTCACTGTTGCATGCCTGTTGCCCATTGCATAGCTGCTTCGCGACCGATGTCCTGATACCGACTGTGTTGCACCAGTGTGAAAAGTAATTTCGGGTGTTTATCTGTGTTATACATATCAGTTTCATGTTTGTTCTTTCAGGGAACGGTCCATGTTGTCATTGCTGACGTATTCGCATTACGTGCATACATGTATGGATGCGATGAGCAAGGCCGGCGTGGCTGTTACGAACGATCTGTTGTTGGCCGTGTTTCGTTATGCACTGCAGCACTGGTCACACCCTGCCGAGGTAACGGTTAACGGTCTGACGAAGAACAAATTTCGTTCTCGCTGCTATGATGTGTAAACGACAGACTTCAGCCTAGTTTTCAATAAAATCGCGAGATGTATGGATAGATGCAACAGAAACATGACCCAAAACATAGAGGCTGTCTTACAACAGAAGCGCTCATTTGAATATCGATGCTATGGTTGCGAACATATCAAACTACATGTTCCTTCTGTTTGTTAAGCGTCACATAGCGAAGCGGAATGAATGAACATTTGTAAAACTCTGTGCGGAAGAATATGTTGGCAGATTCAGAGAACGCGACCATGCAGCGCACTGTTATAAGTGAATCTTCTTAAACATCATGTATTGATGGATTGGTGG